AAGAACGAGCAGATGTACGCTCTTATTGCCATCTGCGTCGCTTTTCAGCCCACTCGTCTGGACGACACCATCCACAGCGCCCTCCGTGAGAAGTATGGCGACCAGCTCCTCAAGCTCCAGCGCGGTGGCCCCGAGTCCCTCCCCATCTTTGAGGAGCTCTTCCGCGCAGCGTGCCCCAAGTTCATCTCCCCCGTTCCTCCGGACTTTGAGAACCCCGAGGCCAACATCGACCCCGTTGAGCACCACCTCGCCGTCTTCATGGACGAGGTCAAGACCAACATGTGGAGCCCTACCATTAAGTCTTACCTCCGCCTCTACACCACCATGGATCTTAACAAGCTCGCTGGTTTCCTTGAGGTGAAGCCCGAGGAGCTTCGATCATGGCTCCTGGTTACCAAGCAGCGAACTAAGCAACTGCGATGGCAGGACCAGGGTCTGCTTGAGGGTGAGCTCGTCAACGTTAGCGACCTTGACTATGCTCTCCAAGGCGTAAGTTTTATGACTCAAACCAGTATCTCAACATAAACTAACAATCCTACAGGACCTTATCCACATCTCCGAGGCTAAGGTGGGACGAAAGCTTGTGGACTGGTATCTCCGAAACCTATCCCGCACCTATAACTGAGGTGCTATAGAGAGAACTGACTAGTCGTTTTTCTCACATTTTACGGGGTCTTAGATTCAAGCCGGAAACAAGCGCATAGAGCGCTATGGCTGAATCCTCCAAACGACCCAGGGTCAGGAGAATACCTGGGGTTATGCAGGCCGACTTGATAGGATGCATGGCATGGCAAAGGCGTCTCGGAGTTGGTGATGCTCGTGCAAGAGCTTGAGAATTTCTCGAGTTTAGCTGTATGTGCGGCAGAGATATGGCACTTCCTCCTAGAGGTACGAGAGCCTGTAAAAAGGCTATGAAGAATAAAAGGAATCAAAAGTCGTTTAATCAAATATCATGATCCTAAAAGTCTGTATTAGCATTATGAATTATGTCAGAAACCAGTTCTTGTGAAGGCTTCACAGTCACAATTGCATTGAGTTCCCCGTACAACTGAGAATAATATTGACAAGCGGACCTACTCATAACAGGGAAATAATATTTGGTGTTTATCTGTTAGAATCTGCTCTCATGTGCTGAGGGACCCTAATAGTGCGAAGATCATATGATGGTCCACAGCGAGAAATTGAGTAACTGGTTACAAAACCTGAGAAGCTGATCAAGCCGCTACCCTTATTGAGCAGTCATAGAAAACCCTCTGTTGTTTTGGGGTTTGAGTTACAGTTCCTCAAGTTAAACACAACATTGGTGATGGGTTTTGTGTAGCCTGCTCTTGCCACTTAGATCACTCTGTGATGCCTTATCACCAAAAAGTCTTTATATCCAATACGACATTGGGATATTTTGGGAAAGCAGATTATATACCATGAGTTATGATGCTTCTGCTTTGATGTCAGCCGCGAGGTTGTGCCACTTAGAATGATATGCCAACCGAATCATCATTTAGTATTCAGTCTGGTTGACAAATACCTTAGCTAACATATACTCCGTTATCCTTGGCTGAACTGGTACACTGTATGAAGTGTAGCTCACGATACTAGGCAACAACTATACGAAAGACGCGCTGTACGGTTCGATCGCCATCTAGGTACTTTCGGACAGAAGGAGGCTCACTTTGATTCATTGGTGAGGACTGTTCAATAAGCGGCATAATCGATTAGCGCGGCATGAACCAGAAAAAAGATCCAAGGTTCTGCTGCGACGAGGACAGCCCTTCAAGTATTTCCTTTGAGGTCTGGTGTGTTGGCGATTCCAGGCTTGGTGAACTAGTATACGACTTTCAGTTTTCGTGGATACTTATTAGCCGCATGTCGGGACTCTGCTTCACTTTGGGATTCCAAGAAATGCCAACCAGCATTTGTGTTCCCGAGTCTGTGCCACTCAGTGTATTGGCTCGTGATTCCCAGAGCCTAGGTTAGCTCAGCTGGCAAAAGCAATGAGACATTGTGTTCTCGTGGCTGATGAAGATAGCTTCACCGCCGTCTTTAACGACATATACGTGGTCGAGTCAGACCATGTCACCATGATGGTGCGCAGGAGAGCTTCCGAAATTCCGGTTCTTTGGTAGCCCTAGTGTGGAGAGGCAGTGGCCGGTATCCGCAAGGTGCACTTCCATTGCTATGCTCTGTCGGATAATGGCAGGGCTGATGAATTATTTGGCTTTGACTTTGACAGCTGAAAGAACAGGGGATACTCATGTGGTCTCGATAAGGATATTCACTGGCTGATACGCTGTGCTTGGTAGTGGCTCAATAATTGATCTGGTGCAACGAAACGATGCGGTGAAGAGTTGCACGAAGGAAAGACGAGTGACGAGCTGACTGTTCCTCGCTTGAGGTTCCCTGCATAACTGTCTGACTGTCTGCTGTCCGCCTTCTTGGTATTGATCCATAGTAAAAACCGTTTGGTTAGTGCCGTTGAAGCTGATTCGGCTCGTCGTATGGGAGGCATGATGGATCTAATTCATCTGCAGAGGCTCTGTCCTGAGTCGGCTCGGCCCCACCATTAGCGTGCCTCTCTCCACTGAAGCCCGAGCGTGAGATGACTCCGCCCGGGGGGAGCGGGATCAGAGGAGGGCTTCTTGTACCGAATCGTGCCCAAAGAACCGGTTCCGACGCCGCCATGGTACATATCATAGCACAAATACAGTTTGCTACGTGATACGCCTGTGCTCTTGGCGGTCACCAGTGGGAGTCACACTCGGGACATTGTTGCCGGGGCCAAGACATTGACACTTTACCTGAAATCTGTGCTGCCTTCTACAGTATTGTCGTCTACCTATCTTGAGCTTCACTTCACAACGAGAAGATCATTGTGTGTTTTTGGCTGCCCAAGCAAACAAGGTGGCATTAGTGAGGGGAAGGCGGCCGAACTAAGCGCCCCTTATTAAGTGGATATCTATTCGCCGGTAAGTTGTCCTACTTGCTGGAGTGGCATCAAAAGAGTGTTGAAAGAGTTTCCATGTGATCAAAAACTCTCAGGGATCATAATAGCGTTGTGTTGAGTTGTGTTGTGCTGCTTGCTTGCTTGCTTGCTTACCTGGCCTGAGCCTGGCCAGCCTGGGGCCAGCATCAGTGTGAGTGGGCTTGTGGCCAGTCTCCTTGCTCGCGTGTCGTTCATTTCCTCTTCTTCTCTGGATAAATTCAAGAGGCCTCTGGTCTCTCTCTGTTATCTCTGTGTCTGTGTTGCAGAAATGATAGAGACCCTGCCCGCTGTTCATCCTGGTCAGCCAATGATTCAGCCCAGTCGACACATGCTTTCTCGCATGCAAATCGAGCTGTGTCTTGGCCTGCAGTTGTTGTCACACCCGACACACAATAATCCATCCAATCCCTGAAGAGCGGCACTGCAACGGCTTACAGTACTTTGGCGTATTTACGTCAGCTGTGCGATTTGCACTTTCGCTATCATCAACCTTGTTTTCACCTCAAGTCTCTTTTTATTAGCTGTTGGTGATCTCTGCAGATTCACGCCATTCTAACCCTTGGTCGTGTTTTGCAACACACGCTCTCCCACAGCTTCTGTAGTATATCATAAATTCAAATCTCGGCTGATGATAATACGTACATCACTCCTGTTGACGTTGCTGCCCAGTTTAATTTCAACCCTCCCAGACCTTTTCGGGCCTACACCCAGTCAGTCCTGACGTGGTCCAAGGGCCGATCCGTTCGGCACCGTCCCTCAATCCATCCCATCCATCCTCTTTGGCCTCCTCCTCCTCACGTTGTCTCCCTCGTTTAATGTGACCAAGCCCATATTATCCAGCTACCGACCTCCTCGCTAACTGTATCATGACATCCATCTCTCTCTGCCTAAGGAAACAATAGTGAGACTATGGATACCTAGACCTCCCATTCTCCCACCCACCCCTCTTTGGTCTTCGTCTCTTCCAAACCTAAAAACCAAGATCTGAAAACGTGGTCTCGTCGTTCCCTGGCAATAACCTTAAAATCTTATTGTTTTGGGCTGAATCTCGGCTGACCTATGCCTTGATTGTGGCTTCATCTCTTTCACCACAAAACTGATTGCAAACAAAACGCAAACGCCCACACCGTCTTCTGACTTTACTCACTCGACCCTCTTACAAAGATCAAGAGTCTTTGCTCTGTGCTTTTTATTTATTCGCTGGCCTCCACTGCCTTTCGTAATCTGCGGCCACTAAGTTATCAGTTCCGCTTCCTCAGAAAGGCCCAGGCTACAACACCACAGCCACCACCAACTTTCATCTCCGTTATTACGACGATTTACCTTTCTTCTATATTCACAGCCACTCTGGTTCGACCTATCGATGAATTAATTGTAGAGGTCCTTCTCCACGCTTTCTACCTACTACTATCTCCGCCAGATCTGATCGACCTCGGCGCTACATCTTAGCTCAAGGTCCGCGTCTCAACTTGCGCCCGCATCTGTATCTCAACTTGGGCTCCCCCATCTTCCTTTCTTGACTTCGGAACCCCGTCATTCAACGTCACAAACTTGACTCTCCTAAGCCCCACGCTACCTTCAGCCGCGGTCTCTCCCTCCTCCTTGTGATTTGGTGCTTCCCTAAATCAAAAGCCAAGCCAAGCTTACCTATCAACTAACTGGTTAGCCTCTCCGTCTTGGCGGCAGTTGCATCTTGGCAATACGCATACCCTTGGGGAGGAACTACCAAGACACTTGCTTGACTGAAGCTCAACTCGTGCAAGCTCAAGCTTTCTTTCCCTCCTCATCAACCAGAGACCCCTTACAAAACAAGCTCTTTTGACCTGGGCTTTTCATCATCATCCATCCATTTTATCCCATCGAGCTTCACCATCGATACGCTTGATCATCGTTAGCTCTTACATACATTCGTTCCCAGACATACACAATCATTATTGAACATATCGGCCCGGCGCGAACGACAAGCTGAACTCGAATTGCCACCAGATCGCGTCTTCTGTGACGCAGTATCGTAGGCAACATGGCCACAACCCCAACGATTCACCCAAACCCGCCCCAGCGTTCCGACTCCGATGTCTCTCCCAGAACAGTCAACCCTCCCAAGAACTCGGCATCAGAAGACGCAAAGACCGATTACTTCCCAGATTCCAACACAGCCGATGGGTCCAATACTAGTGTCCGGGCCAGCGACGGTGACGATTCATCTGCTCGGAAGTCAAGCATATCCTTCGCACAAGATCCTCGACGCAGCTCAAGCTGTGAAAGCAACCAAAACCCAGCACCAGGCCAGGACTCGTCGATCCAAAGGAAATCTTCCACTGGCTCTGTCTCTTTTCGTAGAATGACAAACCCTCAACTTCCCCAAGGAAATCCTCAACAGATGAGCAACAGTCGCATCCGTGCGAGCTCACCGAACCACTCAAGGTATGTAGCAACTCTCTTTATCCTTTCCCCTTCCCATTGCACAAGCTTTTGCTGTGATCAAATACCAATATCCCCAACCCAATACTGGATCGCACTTGCAACCGTATATCGGCCTGATCAAACCTGACACACGGTACGGCAATATGTAAACTGCCAAAAACCTCCATGCGGATCTCCGTGGTACAAAATGGAATTTCTTGTTTTTGTTTTGGAAGAATCCTAATTTCACCAACGAATTTCATTCTGCGTACTGCACACCAACATCAGCGAAAACGGGTTCAAATTGGTCCGGCTGGAAAACCTATGTGATGCCATGCCAAGCAACATGTCGCATGGACTGTGTGTCACCATCAAAATCATTAATTCGGTCCACATGGGTCAGCCATTTCCATCCAGGATGGATACGAGCATTGCGGCAGTGGCATCGGCCTTTAAACACCCACTCGTGAAGACAACTCAATGCAGAGGCGTATTGATGGAATCTGCCTGGCTCGGGTGGAAACTGGGTCGCTTGGCTGGACCATTCCTCACAATAACCTTTCGACTCCACCACTGGCCTCACACTATCAATTATGGTTACCCCGCCGTTTGCGACAAAGCTTCCAGTAGACGTGGGGAAATGCTCTTCGCCTATGATTACCTGCTCGTTTGGTCTGGATCGTCAGGCCATCCATCATCCTTCATCACAGCCACTGACAAGTCGTCAGCCCCCAAATTCCCGCAGAACTCTCCTCTTGCCGTCGACATAGTCGTCATTGACAATTCTTAACATTTCTCCCCATTATCACTTCCCCGCGCATCCTACAATTACCTCTCAAAATCATCGTTACTGTTCTCCGTCTCTATTCTTTTGGTATTTTCAGGACAATGGCGACGCTAACCGAGACCCCGCCCGATAGATTCAAGAAGCATGTCGCATTTGACAATGTTACAGCCGGCGAACCGACTAAGAATAATGCTATCTCATTTACGCTCAATGTTCGACATAAGGGTTACCAGGCTAGGCGTAGGTCGCGATGTTTCATGGTTGGGGTTGACGAGCATACCTACTCCGATTATGCGTTGCAGTGGCTGCTCGACGAACTGGTTGATGATGGCGACGACGTTGTTTGCGTGCGAGTAGTCGAAAAAGAACTGCGTCTTACGGACAAGCAGTACAGGGAAGAAGCAGACTCGGTTATGAAGGGAATCGTTGCTCGGAATGGTAATAACAGAGCCATCAACATTGTCCTTGAATATGCCGTGGGCAAGTTACACACGACTTTTCAACACCTAGTATGTGAACAGAAAAAAACACCTCCTTTGCCAAGTTCCGGCGCTGACAAAATGACAGATCCAAATGTACCAGCCTGCAATGCTCATTGTGGGAACTAGAGGACGCACCCTTGGTGGTCTTCAAGGCCTGGTCAACACCCGCAACTCATTTTCCAAATACTGTCTCCAATATTCACCTGTCCCAGTGGTTGTGGTTCGACCTACCGAGAAACGCATTAAGAAGAAGGCCAAACGTGCCAATGACTCTGCCCGACAGACCTACGTGAGCATGTTGGCTGCAAATGCCGGGAAACATGAGGCCGATAGTGAGGCAAGTAGCATTTATGAGCTGGAGGTCCACAACTCGCCCGATGAAGAAGCGCACCAAGTCGCACGTGCTTTAGGACTGCCTGCATCTTTCGATCCTACGATTAAGCCCCTCAACCATAGCCAAATATCGAGCCGCAGATCCCCCGACCCTACTGCTACTGCGGGCCCTGTCAATGAGTCGTCGGAGAACCAGAGAGTTGTCAAAGACGATGTCAGTGTCGCCGCTGAGAGCGATGACGATGATGACGACGACGACGACTCTGGAGAGTTTGAAGTTGCGAGCGGGCAGCAACTATTGGACAGGCAGAAGATGGATCAGCTTCATAAGATGGAGGTCGGTGAAGCAGCAGCGTTCAAGATGAAGGTGGACGAGGAACTCGATGAAGAAGATGATACCCCCTCAGCCTTGAAAGCCACATCATAGAAGATGAAGGGCAAGCAGAAACAAGGAACAGACGAGAACAATGATAAGAATAGCACGGGAGTCGAAGTTGCCGGAAGCCACGACAAATCCTTTCAGGAGAATAACCAGCATCCTCAAGTTGCTCAGCCAGATTTAGAAGAAAAAGGAGGACTCTCATCTCTGGAAGAAGAGGGCGACACGACCGAACTGCAACATCTGGATGATTTACAAAAGCGCACGGCCGGCTCCAACATAGGGGTTCACTCATCGCGAGGAGCTTGGTAGGAAACAGCGCCCCAAAAGCACGGGGCTAAGATAGACTCCATTGTGATTCCTCGGGTCTGTTCATCAGAGCCCAAAGTTCCCAACAATTCAAAAGTCGAGGACAAGGGAGGACCTTCTAGTCCAACCTTCGAAAAGCCGGATGCCGTTTCGAAGACTCTCCAGGTACCTTCAGGTGGCCAGATTCGTACGTCGTCCGCAGGAGACGAAGGATCAGGTACCCTTGTCGATTCCTCATCTATGGAGATGTCTACGTGGTCGAATGTCACGGCACCTCGACGAGAGGTCCAAGATAACGGCGCCGATGGTGATGGCGACGGCGATGGCGATGGTAATGGGGATGGTAATGGCGATGGTAATGGGGATGGTGATGGCGGTGGTGAGGGCGGTGGTGGTGGTGACGGTGCTAGTAGCAACAATAACGACAACGAAGAGAATGATAATGCACCACCTAATGAGGCAGATGCGAGGCCTCGTCCCAGCAGGTATCCATTGTGGGCCAGTGGCTTCACAAGTTGCTTCACAAGTTGCTGCAGGGCATGCATGTGTCGACGCTAGGCTAACGGTCTGACAAGATGATGCGTCGATGATTATGTGGTTCTTGTAGATTTTAATAGCGCTTCGAAATGATATTACAGAGCGATAGACTGGGTTCAGTTCTTGTTATTAGCTACCTATCTGATGCACGTGAGGGTTGAAATTCATATTAAGTTTGGGATCATGGCCATGCGCCGAGGTCGGCGATTCAAATGCACAGTAGATATATTACCTAGATATGCATGTGCGTACGTGCGTCTAATGTAAGGTAGGTAGGTAATGCAGGTCTGTCCCATGCCAATGTCATCATGTCATGATGCTGCATGCAAGGACCCTTGATCAGGCACAAGGATGTGTAACCTGAGGCATCAACACGTCACTGTACCTTAGGCTGTCTATGTGCGACTGACCCAAGTTGCAGGGAAACGAGTGCGACGACGTAAGCCACCATTTCTCAGGTTCTAGACCCAGGGGCTAATTCCAAATGTCGAGTCTAGCAAACAATTCTCGACTTGCAAACCCAAAAGATTGACAACGGCTGAAAGCATATGTACTTTTCTTATTGATTGATTGCCTAAGTTGTCAAGAAAAAGACCAAAGGACCGACCCTAGAAGGTGACGTTGCGCGGCATCTCTTAACTATTTGTTACGAGTTGTCGCAACGGCACGGCACACTATACTACGAGGGGCTCAAGCCCAAGTTCAAGCTCAAGCTCAAGGGATAAACTTGAGTTACTGGCAACGTTTCAGTCTATTTCAGTTAGATACCGAGTCTCCCCTCCCCCCTCTGATGTTACAAACTCAAGGGAGGATTTACTGCGCCGCCGCCAAACCCCGACTAAAATAACTACCTACCCAAGGCTAGGGGACTCTGACATTCCTACGAACTGCGAGCATACATACATACGAGTTAGACAAAGAACGAACGATATTACTCCCCTGGCCCCGTGCCAAACATCGATGATCATCACCACGACTCATACTGCTTCGATAACGATATAGACTTGAATTTGAATTTGAGTTTAGAATTCAAAGAATGTGGCCCTTTACTCGCTGCGGCGAAGACGCCTGCGAAATCCAACCCCGCCCTGTCACACTCGCCTCGTCCATCGCCGCCCTCCCGTTCCTCCTCATCTGCATCTCGACATCAATCCTCGTCGTTCGACATGTCTTTCCCCGCCTGAGCAGCGATGCCGATTCTCGCGACGGCGAAGATCACGTTCTACCTACACATGCACCAGCGTGTCTGCGACAAGCCCACGCTGAACATGGTGCCAAGAGCTGGAGACGGCGCGGCGCAGCCTGGACGTTTGGTCTTACTGTGGGATTGGCCGCTACCTTGGGCGCGCTAATCATGGACGAAATCATCGAAGTTGTTAACGCCGACTCGAGAAATTTGGCTTTGAGAATAACGGTGCCAAGCTTGCTGTTCTTGCTGGTCGTGTTGGTACCTTGGCTGGAGTGTCGATCGGTTGTTTCGAGTGCTGGATGGAGTTTTCAGAGGACTGCCAAGGGAAAACTTCCTCGAGTCGCCTGGGGATTACAAATTTCTCTGTTTGTGGGATGGTTGTTCGCCTTCTGGTCCGTTGGCCAGGCTGTTCCCGAGGGAGCGATGCGCAGGACGAGCATTGCGAGTGGAAGCCTGTCCGAGATGTTGACACGCGGATGCCTGGAACGTATTGGTGTCGTTGGTATTTCACTTATGGCTCTACTGTCTGGCTTCGCTGCTGTTTCCTCACCGTGGCAGGCATTCATGGATCTTACAGCCCGTCGCAAACGACCCGTTTCAGATGCTGACGTAGCGAGAAAGCAAGCTGGGCTGGATGCTGCCAACGAAATGCTTCTCACCAAGCGTCATCGCTTGCAATATCTCGAACGCAAGACATCTGGTCCTCAGATTGGCGCCTCTGCCAAGGGTAGTGGCCTTGTTGGCAAAGTCATAGGTTCTCTACGTGGTCCAACTGGTGATGAGGCAGAGATGCGATCGCTGCGCTTGGAAATTGCTGGTCTCGAGACGATGGAAGCCAACCTGGCTTCGGGAGTTTCTCTCCTCAAGAGCCACCGGGCTGCCACAGTTCGCGCTTCAACATCCATTGGACGAATTCTTCTCATTCCCTCGCAACTCTTCAGCCTGTACTGTGTGTATCGCATTGGCGCAACTACAATCACAACTATTCGCCGAGCATATTCACCCACGTCAAGTTTCGCCAACACGGATCCCATCAACCGCTTTCTTAGTATCCTTGCGCGCCATTGGGATCCCAAGTTGGATCAATTAGCATGGGCACGCCTTATCAGCTTTGCCCTCAGCGGCGTCATCCTCCTCGCCAGCGCCAACAGTGTGGTCCAGACGTTTCACCTGTTTGCTAAATGGACCCCAGGGCTGCTCCGTCAAGCACAAGCGAATCTGGCGCTGGTCGTCGGACAGATTGCTGCGACCTATGTCATCTCTGCTTCACTTCTCCTCCGCAGTCAATTGCCGTCTGCCTTGGGCTCGGCAGTTGGGAGCGTGTTGCGAGGTGCCTTGAGTCCCGCATTTGTGGATGGTTGGTTTGAGGGCTGGTTCCTAGTAGGCAGCCTCATAACAGCCATTGGTATCTGGATAGGCAGAAAACTCGGAGGCGATGACGAGTGGGATGAGTACGGCATGGAAGAGATGGGCGCCAAAATGTCGTAGGTGCCTGAGTTCGGTAGCGGTGGTTCGTTTCTATGCTTTTTGAGGTTCGGGTTAGCACGCAAGCATTTTTTTTAATAAGCGAAGCGGTTGGATGTTCTGTACGATACATGTCTGGGTTGGCGTTTGAACGACAAGGCTTCTGAGAGATGAGGGGCGTTGATACATAGAGTACAATTTGGGTATATCACAGGGAATAGGACTATACCTACTGAGAAAGGATACAGGTAGAGGGGCTTGTCAGGCTCTGCAATACATTGCAATGTTACAAAGAGATATGATAGCCGCATGTAACTCTTGACCGAGAAATGCGATATATGCAGTGATATGCAGTAGCCTTGGTAGTTGGATGCTGGGTTGTCTCACAAGTGTCAGCTGTAAGACGAGGTTGACTCACACATTTAACACCAGAGACTCGACTGCAGACAAGTCACTTTGGATGATACAAAGTGCCCAAGATCCAATCCTCTCTATATCTTCTCTACGCAGAGCATTCTTAATTATCACATGTTCTATCCATCTTTAGTGCCCAGTGCTTAACAATTAATATATGCGCGGTATTTCTTTCCCAACCAATCATCTTCAACTCGCAGCCTAAACCAGGTATCGATTATCAAACATATAAAGTCTTCAAGACTATAAATACTACAACGAGGCCAAGATCAACACACATCACCAACCTTCATAATGCCAACCTCACCTTCGCCACCACTATCATACACTCAACCCGCATCTCTCGAGGCCTTCGCCTCTACTCCAGATGTCTTCAGAGCTGCCCACCCGCCAATTGAGCACCTCATAGCTGGCGCCCTAGTCACCAATCCCCAAGGTCAAGTCCTTCTTCTCCGCCGCGCAGCTCACGACTCATGGCCTCTGCTATGGGAAGTCCCCGGCGGTTGTGTCGATGACTCAGACCATGGCCTCGTTGCTGCAGCTGTGCGTGAACTCTGGGAAGAAGCCGGACTGCGCGCAAAGGCTGTAAAAGCCGTGGTAGGAATTGCACCCATCACAGAGCCGATGCCAGATGATCCTCTAGAGAAGGACTTGGAGGTTCTGTATGACATGCTTGTGTTTCGTGCACATGATGGAGTCTGGGGAAAGTTGACGGTCTGGGTCGAGGTGGAGAGCTGTGATGAAGTCAAGATTGACGAGAATGAACATGTCGAGTTTGCCTGGGTGACAGAGGAAGAAGCACTTCAGAACAAGTTCAAGGATGGCAAGAAGTTGGAGTTTGTAAGCGAGGGAGTGAAGAGGAACGTACTCGAGGGCTTCAGACTCTGGAAAGAGGACAACGAAGCAAGCAAATAAGCCAAAGTGGCCAGCAAGATGAGTCATCAGTGGTAATGAAATGGATCAGCATGAGACGAGACTTCATGTGCTCATCACTCGTCTATAGTCACACACAGACGTAGCCCTCACCCCTTCTAAAAGCATCAAGAACAAACACCGAGACCTCATTGACCGAATGGAGATAAATAAATAACAGGACATTTCATTGATCCCATGAACCGCATAGCATACAGATCCGAGTTCATATCGTAAGAGTCGACGTCTCATCATCTTTGCCGAGTCTAGAGAAAACGAACTGCCTATAGTAGCCTTGCCTGAGTGTTCGTTAAGCCAAAGCAAGTAAACTTTTTCAGTCCCTCTCCTGCTTTTCACCCTCTCCCTCATTCATATTCATCAATCAAGGAAGTCAACACGTGGCCTAGACGTTTTTGGGGGAAATCAAAAACAGTAATAAAAAAAAGACAAAAAGGGAAACATAAAGAGATAATAAAAAAGAGCTGTGATCATTCAAATGCATGCCACGTTTCAGTCCATTCATCCATCCTTTCATCCATCCATCCATTCGCCGCCATTCTTTTGCTTTTGTCTCGAAACGCCAAAGGTCAAATGCTCAAAAATGCCCTCTCCAATCCCCCTGAACGAGTGAAAGCGGGTGTCGAGGTTGATCATGAGTAAGTCCAACGTGTGGCGGTCAGACAAGGAAAACAGGATGCCGTGGTCGATTAGAACCGGCGGAGAGATTTCAATTCCATGCCCTGAGCAACCTGTGATACTAGATTGTCGAGGATAAGGAGAAGAGCAGGCAGGAGGTTTCGAACCAGCCTTTGTTTAGAACCAGCTTCAAAAACCATCGCTTGCAATCGAGTGTAAGATGGGTGTCATTTACGAGAAGATAGCAAAGTCCAAGATGATCACTACTCTTAACTACGAGCTAGGTGACTCGCATCTTGTAAACAGGCATTCTCAGTCGTCAAACCATAGAGAAACGAGGCGATTGGTACACATTCTAGGGTGCCATCGCACGTCCCTGGCGACCTTTCTTGTTGGGCACTGTAGTCCAACCGTCGTCGTCAGCTGTGGGTGTAGTAGGCTCGGCATCAGTAGACGCGGGTTGTTGAGCAGCTGATCCGTTGGAGCGGAGAGGTCCAGCTCGTGCCTCCCGAATGCCGCCACGGCCACCACGACCGCCCCGAGGTCCAGCTCCTCCACGGGGTCCTCGTTGCTCGTTTGAGGCAGAGCGCCAGCTTGAAGCTTCGGTCGCTCTTGACTTGGGAGCACCCTCTCGGGGCTCGCGGTTTCGGATAGGAACCTTCTGCTCGCCATTGGCGCCCTCAGCAGCTTCAGCCTTAGGTTCTGTTGCCTCAGCGGCTGCCTCAGCGGTCTCCTTAGCCTCGGCAGCTTCAGCGGCTTGCTTGGCTTCAGCGGCCTCAGCCTTCTCAGCAGCCTCAGCCTCAGCCTTGGCAGCGGCCTCCTTCGCCAGTTTTCGTTCCTCCTTGGCCTTCTCATCGGCCTCTTTCTTCTCCTGGATAGCCTGCAGGCGCTTGACCTCAATCTCCTTCTCCCTTGCTGCGGTATCGATAGGACGAGCGGCGCCGAAGGGGCTGGCCTTAGCATCAGAGCTCTGGGATGTTGATGAAGCATCGGGGGCCTCGGAAACAGTTCGCTTCTGGAGGTTCAAGCGAGGGCGACCACCCTGAGCAGGTGCGGCGTTAGAGAGAGCGGGGGATTGGGGTGCGCTACCGTCGGGGGAGGCAGCCTTAGCAGCATCGGGGCGCATTCTCTCGCGCCACTGCATGTCCTTCTCAGCAGCAGTAGCAGTTCGTTCAGGTCGCTCAGGACGTTCAGGACGAGGACGAGAACCACCCTCGCGAGCCTCGCCCCAAGCAGGAGAGTCCCGGCGGTTTCCTCGGTAAGACTCACTACGGTCACCAAGCACATCGGGAGAAGCACGGGGGCGGCTGCCGTCTCGGGATCCGGAACCCTCTTGAGGAGAGAGGGGAGCCAGGGGTCCATGTCGCTCCCAGGTGAACTCACGTTGGGGACGAGACTCGAAAGCAGGATCACGAGGTCGTCGCTCACGGTCACCGAAGTCACGAGCCCCACCCCTTGAAGGGGCATCGGGCAGAGGTCCCTTGCGGTCCCAGTTACCCATCTCACGGATAGAGTCACCTCGGCCAGGATCACCGCCACGAGCTGTAATTAAAGGTTAGATAAAGATAAGTTTTCAGGGATAGATGCAAACTTACGAGGATCAGCGACCTTGATCTTGATCATTCGTCCGTTGAAGTTCTCGCCGTCAAAGGTAAGAGCCTTCTTGAGGCCATCCAGAGTCTCGAATTCGACATAACCGAAACCCTTGGGGCGCTGCAGCTCACGGTCCTCGATAAGGCGGACGTTGACGACACCACAGTCGGCGAGATATTCACCCACGGCGTCGTTGGTAACATCGTAGGAAAGGTTGCCCAAGTGAGCGGTATAAGGAGGCTTGTCGGGGAGGGTTTGAGGGGCAGCTTCGCGAACGGAGAAACCTGCGCCAGTTAGTTTTGGGAGCCAAATTATAGCGACGTCAACACATACCCCGGTCCTGCCAGCTGGAAGCAGCGTTGTTGTTGTACCGAGGGCGGTCGGAAGGGGGCAGAGCCTGAGTGCCTAAAAATGGTCAGTCCACCACGGGTCGAAGGTATCGTGTGAAAGCGACAAGACATACCAGTGACTGGAAATGAGTTAGCAATAAGACACATATATAGATTTTAAGTCAAGGTGAAAGTGCTTACCGTAAGAGGTTTCCTCTACCTCATCAGCCCAAGATGAGCCTCCACCAAAACCTACAAGTCCAAGTCGTCAGTATGGGGTCAACGAGGGGCATCGCAGCCAAGTCCCCCGTACGGCGGGGTGCACAGGCGAGGGGCGGGACATACTGTCAGCCAGAAAGTCCCCAAGGGACATCTTCTGCTGTTCCTTCTTCTTAGGAGCTGGCGAGGGGTTAGCATTTGCCTAGAGGACATGCTGAACTGTCATAGAGGGGTGCTCACCCATGATTGCGGTTAGGCGAACACGCGCAACGATTCTAGGACCGATGCGCGCACGAATGCAAAGGGCGAAGGCGACCGGGGTTTCAGCTTTCGCTTCAGAGAGGAGAACGAGATCGGATCGCTTTGTAGCCGGGAGCGGAAGAACCGAAGACCGGAATGTCGATTATTTCTGTCAAGAAACTTGCGTTGCAGAGTGTTGATGTGCCCCGACTAATGTTGCCGTGTCTGGGGTTGACGAGTTGAAATTTGCTCGGCGTATGGGAAAAAATGATGATGGAGGCGCCAGTTGAGGGTTCCCTTAATTTTGCCAGTCCTGGTCTGAAGTGGGCGCTAGCCCTTTTTAGTGCGGGACCCACCAATTAACCCCTCTACTCGATTGATGTCTCGCTTGCATCTCCTCAGAAGCACCAGTAACAAGAGCCCCAGAAACTGTAGTTACACTTTGAGGTTCAAGCAGTCCAGTTGATTCTGTTTAACAGCCCGGAGCTTATGAGATATCGGCCAGGTGCATTAAGCCAACGCAATTCAGGATTTCTCAGGTCTCTCGCAGACGGTACTTTAACTATGCGGCATATACAATTACATGCCTCGATAAAGATCAAGGCAACTCATGATCCACACACATGGCAGTCAAGTATCAATGATAAATATCCGTTAATTCACTGCCATCTGCCTCATCTCTCATCTCTCATCTCTGTATCAAAACTTGACAATTCAGTGCGTGTTGACACATTACTACATATTCGTCTCAACTATGCCTAGCCTTTCACGAGCC